AGCGGCGAAGTATGCTGCTTCTGTAACTCTAATTATGGATGATGTCATGCAAAAGTTGGGTGTTCAAGGATACATTTCAAGAAAAACTAAAAAGAAAATTACAGAAGGAAATCTTCAATGCCATTATCAACACTACTCTTTTATTAACCCTCAATTAACTCCATCTTTATTTCCAACAAATGTTGAGAAAATCAAGATCCAAACATTCGCCTTCGGCATACAATTGCAACTCACCAATGGATCCTGAAGAAGTCCTTCTCCTCCCCAATCTGCAGCTGTGGACAAATTCTCACTATAAAGCACATTCTCTGCGACTGCCTTAACTTTTCCGTGGCTAGAAGTATTGCATTTGGAAGGATTAACCCTTTGGACATTCTAAAATCAACCTCAGAACAGAATATCAATTCAGTATATTACTTTATTAAAACTTCTAGGCTCAATATCTAATGTACATTTATATAAATTAGAGCCGATAATCTGTGTTGCTAGTGCTCAATGTCTTTTTTTAGTCTAAGAATTTACTTCATTAGTCCAAAATTATTATAGTAGTAATAATATATTTTTGGTAATTTTTCACTCGATTTCAGTTTTTCACCAAGCTCTTTGCGCACTTCTAAAAGGCTTTGGTTTTTCGCTATGAGCCGTTAGGTAGCTGTACAGGCTGTACAGGTATAATTTTCAACAATTCGTTGTGAAAATTGTTCCAGAATAACTTATGACTTTATGCAAATTCACCAAATTATATCTTTTCATTTGAATCCCTAAAAGGACGTTATATGAACTCGGTTTCGTTCACATCTTAGCCAGATTGCATCACATTAACAAAATATAAATACTTGGAATATTTCTGTTTTTTTTTTACTGCGATTAGAAAACGTCATCGCCATTGTTGGTTAATTGCTAGTTAAGCCCGTCCCGTTATGGATGAACAAGTCATGTACTCTCTTCTCTTTCCTTTTTGTTGCATAAAGTCAAATTTTTCTTCAAATTGTCTCCTTTTAGCTGAAATTGATGAGAAGGCCTCACTTACACAATATCCTAATCCTTATGAAAAAAGTTTAATAATAAAGAAAAACAAAATTTGCACTCCCTTCATGTTTTAAATTAGGTTTTTGTTACAATGAATTGCAAAATTGATATCTTCCTAATGTTACAAATCAGCCGTAAACTGTTCGGACAAGGATTCCAAATGGCGTTAAATATAATAACTCGCTTGGCACGCATCATATTAATGCCAACAATTTTACAATTTTAGTTTCACATTGCTGTGAAGTACCACATAGGAAGAGATATAAAAAATGAAACAATACGATAATAAATTTCAAAAAATCTCACGAAATTAATTTTCCTCAGAAGTCCAAGAAAAATCTATACCCGATGCTTGATTGACATGTAAAAATTTTTCAATTAAATTTAACGTAAATAAACTAAAAAACGTAAGAATCAAAAATATTCATCAATATTACGGCAGTTTTCATTTATGTCAAACGGCTCTACCTTTGACAGTCCCTTGCATTTGTGTATAATGACCATTGTATTGTTGGCAGCGGTAGGATTTTGTGATCCCGTTACATTATTGAATTTTATATTCTTGTAATTCCTGTTCTACAATCAAATTCTCGCCCCATGTGAGTTTAATGCGACATTGTGGATTGATTGATCAGATTTAAAATGGCTGCTGTTGTACTTTGTAGTTAAACAGTAGGCCTTTTAGTATATTGAACTAACAGATTGTTGATAACTTCATTGAAAGAAGAGGAGGTGGTCGCACCTGTGTGAGTGGTGGAAATGCATTTTTGTTGATATTATATAAATTAAGAGATTTCCTCTACCCGTTCAATATTTTCAGAGAATTCGGTACTTTTTTATACGTACTATTGATGTGACCTTTGAAACCTGCGAGAAAATTATTTGCGGTGAAATCTTCATAGTCTCATTCAATTCCATGTCGTGAAGATGTGTGTGACACAGTATTCTTGGGCTAAGCGTACAATCCTAAATCATTTTGTTGTCATTTTTCTGGCTTCGCGTAGTTGAGAATTATATGAATGACTTCCGTTGCTTCTCCTGTTAACAGTGTTAAAATAGGAATAGCTCAAGGAATTTAAGTTGATAGTACCATTAAATATGAGCTTATTTAATTTAAAGGTGCTTTAAACCGTTCACTCCATTTCATTTTTTAGTTTTCGTTTGGTAATCTTCACAATCTTCACTGTCTAGACCTTAAACATGTTGGGATATGGCGCAATTTGAATGAGATATAAGTATTAAAAATGTTTTATTGTCATAAAGTTGCGAATGGTCTGATATATCAAGAAGTATAATATAAAAAACATGATTAATTTTACTTTATAAGTTACATGTTCATATGCTCATGTCACATGTTTCTTCCAGGGTTTCCACGACTGTGCAAAAATTCAGCCATGATTTTCTTGAGGGATTGCTTGGATAGTTTAAGAAGAGATATATAAAACCAAAATCGTTGAAAACATCCGTCTAATGACGGAAAACGGATCCATTAGACTTGAATAAGTTAGTTTTGGATAGTTAGCCTAGCTAAAATAAATCTGCTTTCAATTTTCTACATCTACATCTACTCCAAATTTTACAACACGGAGGATTCCGTACGTTTTCTACTAATTATTAATTTTTTAGGTCTTTTAAACATATCGCAGAATTTATTCTCAATAAATTATAATCTAAATAAAGAATTTTATAATTTTTTAATTTGGACGTTAACGCATACTTAAAAACATTATGTAAACATTACTAGGAGCGTCTACACGTGCTATAATATTCCATTACTAATGGAAAAATAAATAGCGGCTGTCATTGTGTTGTTGTCGTCTACTTACGCTTGCCTGCCAACATAAGTATTTTTTAAACGGAAAAATCGAAAAAGCACGGAAAAAATAAGAAATTTCTTTCATTTTTCTTTAAAGAATTTAAAAAGAACTCTAATTTAAAATCTTCAAGAGCCCCCGTATACGTGGAATGAAACTGCACTTTCAGCGATTATAATAGTTTGTATTTGTGAGTGTAAAAGAAATATAGCTTACTTTTTCCGGTTCAATCGTGTAGAATTAATACGTTAAAGGATACTTTACATAAACAGAAACTAAAGTCCCGCCCTCTTAATTGTTTGCTGCATAACATTTCAAGTGAAAGACAAATCTTGTTTTTTTTTTCTTTTTTTTTTACCACAATAAATTTAGGAAGTGGTGTGAATAAACGGGAAAGGATTAAGAAAAAAGTAATTCGAACAGGACGTAGCACGGATGGCTGAACGTCCAAAAAATCTTTTTGCAGGCAAGTTTAGACTATTATGAAAGCGTAATTTTAAATGAAAATTTCGAACTATTTTTCTTATGGCAGGTGGATCCTGCCGGCCGCGTATGCCGCCTAATGAGCTAAATTTTAGCACTTTCAGTATGCGTCACCCGCCCTCCTCTTTATCATCCACATCATCAGGTTCAGCCTCTTCTACTAGTAGTATATTAGTTGGCGCTTTACCTATTATGCCAACGGATCGTACCCGAGAACGTATTAAACAACAAGCTTGCGGCAAACTGCAGTTAGGTTCGAGCCCTCAAGATGTGTACCAGTTTACTTCTGATGATCTAGAGGACTTAGGTGAAATTGGCCGTGGGGCGTTTGGGGCCGTAAATAAAATGATTTTTAAAAAAATCGATAAAGTGATGGCTGTGAAACGTATACGCGCCACAGTTGACGAAAAGGAGCAGAAACAACTACTGATGGATTTGGAGGTGGTCATGAAGTCAAATGATTGTAATTACATTGTGCAATTTTACGGCGCTCTATTCAAAGAGGGCGATTGCTGGATATGCATGGAATTAATGGACACGTCATTGGATAAATTTTACAAATATATATTTGAGCGAAAGAATCAGCGTGTACCAGAGTCAATTTTAGCTAAAATAACGGTAGCGACGGTGCACGCTTTAAATTATCTCAAAGAGAAACTTAAAATTATACATCGTGATGTTAAACCTAGTAACATTTTGTTGCATAAACGTGGAGATATTAAATTATGTGATTTTGGTATATCTGGGCAATTGGTGGACTCTATAGCAAAAACTAAGGACGCCGGTTGCAGGCCGTATATGGCGGTAAGATATATGGTTTCCTATTATAAGCCGACTTTCATGCTTTCCGTATCTGCAGCCTGAGCGCATTGACCCCGAAAGGGCGAAGGGCTATGATGTACGCAGTGATGTTTGGTCTTTGGGCATTACATTAATGGAAGTGGCTACTGGGAATTTTCCTTACCGCAAATGGGATTCGGTATTTGAGCAGTTGTGTCAGGTAAAATATTGGTTTATGATCTTATGAAGATCTAGTTAATATATGCGGCACGCGACTCAGTTTAAAATCATTCAAAGAAGTTTTGATAACTTCAAAAGTTTTAAAAAAAAGTATAGGAGATTAACTAATGAACTACGTATGAAAGGGGTCTGCTTTTGTGAAATTCTCAACAAAATGTAAACAGAACAGTAACGGAAGACTATGGATGATATCTTTCGAATCAATTGCTTGCATTGCTGTGGGAAGAAATAACTTTTTAGCTGCCAAATTTCTAAAGGATTCCTCTCCTTGGGTGCATCATAATAGGAAAGAGTGTTTAACAGAGTTTACTAAGAATGTTGCATTTCGAAAGTACTACATTTACAACAGGCTGTGATGGGTACTAATGCCACAAAAAGAATGCCAAATGTATGAGTATAAAAAAGAAAACAGTTTGTACCCTGCATAATATTGCGTGGACGAGATTTTTTCTATTTTTGAGGAACATATGTGGAAATATTTATCATGCGTCTATTGGAGTTTATGAGAAATGAGCAAAAAATCCTGAACTGTACGGATTCGCCCATTTTCAATTCTAACCTTGTGCACACTTAATGCTTTGACTCAATTTGAAGGTGATATCTTCATCTTTGGTTCCGACAAAGATTTCAAAGGTCTTGACAAGAAATTAAGCATAGATATGTTAGAGTTCTGGGTGTGAGGACGGGTTTGCTCCATTTTTAACAAATATCCATAGAATATATGTAGCACTTTTAATAGTTCTATCTGCTGCAGCAATGAGCCAAGAAAAAATCTTATTCCATTTTAAAAACGAAAGTGCTCTCAGTTGACGTACGAGTGTAAATCCAACATGCACGCATGCAAGCAAGTAAATTTACACAAATTTGAACGCACATTCTATGGGCGATGCTGTAGCATTTGTGAACAAAAATGGAAAAACCTGTCCACATCTACCCAATATTATAGTGTATCAAAATTTAATTTTTTTTCAATACCTTTATAAACCGCAGAAACAAACTTTAAAAACCCCATAAAGCATAAAAATTCTTTGGCAGTTTCAAATTTTGAATGCACCTAAACATGTCCGCCTGTTTGCCCAACTTTGTAGTATTTATGGTAAACATTCTCCCGTTAGCGAAAATGAAGATATTGCCTACAAATTGTCAAAAGAATTTGAAATTGACCTAAACTTTTCAGAGGACACGCCCAGACCGCCCACATGCCTCTACAACAAAAACATTTATTTTTATAATAGAAGAAATCAACTACGGCCACTCCATTTTATAGAGCATGAGAATTTTGTTCTTTTACTTCTTTTGTCTTGGGGTGATGGGTTTAAAAGATTTGGTCCTGATCGAATTTAATTTTCTTACTTGTTTTTCATTCGAATCCCTATATGAGTTGCGATTGCACCACCAAGAAATAAGCTTCCGAGATCCTCTAAAGTTTACATATTATTGATTAGTATCAAATGCGAACCGTTCTAGACATATTTGTTGTTGGGCGTGTTAAACGTTACAATTCTCCTACTTTTTATGTTCCACACTAACATCGTTGTAGGTAATAAATATAGGGTGTGGACATTGTTAACAGAAAAAAACTTATTTGAGTTTTTTTAAAAACGAATTTAAATGCTACTACGCTATGTTTTATGTTGCTAAGTATGTATTTCTTAGAAATTCATTAAAAATATTTCCCGAAAAAACAATTAGAAAGTTTTTAATCGTTTGAAAAGTATTTTCATATAGATTCCCGTTGTATGTATGACAACAGATGGCATTTTCTATTTTGGCTCAAATTTGGTTATTTTCCCATAGCCGCTTTATGCTAACGTACTAAATTTCAAAAAATTGCTAAAAATATTTCTGAAGAGAAAATGGTGAATATTCTTAGCTTTTTTGAATAGTATTTCATATAGATGCACGATGTCCAAAAAATTAACTTGCGTTTCCTAATTTGAACGGAGTAGGATTCCAAATTCAACTACGTTTTGATACTAACTACTTACCAGAGTTCTCTTGAGGAACTTGTTAAATGTCTTTGGTAGTTTAATTAATTCAAATTTGTCTTCACACCTGTAATGTACTCTTATGTCACCAAGGATATGAATAGTTTTATCATTTTTGTCATAAATTTTAATAAGTTTGTTGTGCAACTGCATATTTTTCAGACCAAGTACTTTAATTTTGTGCTGGATTGTTTTTTAATTTCCCATTGCATTTATTAAAATCTTTAAAAGACCAAAGAGTGGTTTTATAAAATTCTAGGAGTAACAAAGTAATAATAGTAAATAGTAAAACAATAAAATGAAATAAGTAAAACAACTGAAAGAGCTCTAGTCGGTCGCAGCCCATTATTAAATACCCTGCACCGGTTCGCTTAATGCAGCTTCTTATATAGCGACTTTTGAAAATAGGAAATTATATAAGATGTAATGGAAAAATTGGTCTAGTTCGGACTGTTTTCCACAGCGTTTGTCCGTGGGCCAAAACATGCCGTTATATAAAATTTGATCGGAAAATCTCAAAAATTGCGGTTTAAAGATTGAACAAACCAAAAGAAGACAGACATCAGACTTAGGATAATAAATGCTGGGTCTATTTCAAGCCCTTCTGATTGTTGAATGAAGTAAATCAATTCCGGATTTAACGAATTCTAGCATTATAGAGAATGCCCGATTAACTACTAACAAATAAATAGAAAACAAAGCGTTTTTATAGCGTTTTTACATTAGAATTTTAGCTAACCCTAGCAATATCTTTTGCAGGCTGCAAGTTATAGTGTGTGTGCTGTGCATTGAAGGCTCTTTTGTTCAGGGAGAACACCTACATTTTTTGCACAGTTTTTAATGCTATGTAAATATGTAATGTGATTAATTTTAGTCAAAAGGTCAAACTCTGAATCGATTCCAAATCATGCGTTGATCAAAAATATGTATATTATGGAACGCACTATTTGCAGTTTAAGCGAAATACTAAAAAAACATTAACATGTCATTAATAATGCCTCTTTTTTTATTTTTCAAAATATTCTGCTTCATGATCTATATTCTTTTCTTATTCTTATGTTCGTCTCATTTGTCGTAGCTTTTTTTTTATTCCGCTTAAGACATCGCTAAAATGTGGTTTTCGAATGCATCAGCGGCTGCTTCGTACGATGAAAATCGTTATCGGCGCAATTTGATTTTGAAGTTGGGGACTCAGAAGCAATCAAATTGGTACGGTATGGCGGATGACACGTTAATTCGATTACTACAGTGTTTAAATAGTCCGTTATTAGAAGAGGCGTTTGATAGCTGACACTCTCTTGATAAAAAATTGATCCGAAGGCGTTTGCTACCGACAAAAATGACGGACAGCCGCCTGCGAATTATTTTTCGACTCGCATGCTTAGATATATAGCTTGTCACTTATTTCAATCAGCGTCATGGTAATTCTGACGAATTTGTTTGCACCAATCGGCGCGAGTATATTTTCATTTCCATTTCATTTGATTTCAAGTAATTATAAAGTCTATAACTATATTTTTAAGCTTTTTTTAAATTATTCGAAGTGCAACCTTTTCATGGTTTAATGATTAAGCAATATTTTAAATATGCCGGTGATATTAATGCCTAAAGTTGCGTCAATTTCGCAGTCACATGTCGAGTTTTCATTGTCAGTTTTTGCACAGCATCAATGTTTTCTGGCACAACAATCGAAGTTGGACGACTTTCAGGATTCTCTTCGACGATAGGATGTATTAAACTTGTTATATGAACTTGTCCCAGAGGCAAACCACATGGCTTATCTTCTAAAGGTAGAAGTAAGTTGGTCGATAAACTCTTGTCCTGATAATCCACGGCGAAAGTTATAACAAACCATCGTACAAAACTATTCCAGCGACTTTCCAGTCAAGACTTCAGACGACACCTGGCAACATTGATTGTTGCCAAGGCTCGAAATCTTAATAGTGCCCTCTGCATGGAAATTACAAAGTATGCTTCACATATCTGGTGTATTCTCTATTTTAATACAAAGCCGATAGCCTTAGATGCTAGTGCTTCAAGACTTAAGCCTTAGAATTTATTCCTCTGTTTGTGTATATGTAATAATATACTTCGATGCTTTACCCACGGAACAACCGCAAACAATAAGTAGATGGATTATGTTGTTCATTTTGACGAAGAGTACAAATACTTTTTGAAGTCCGTGCTCATTTATTTCTGTGTATATTTTTTGCAAATGCAATAAACATCTTGTGTAATAAGATTGCTGTTAAAAAAAGTACATCAAGGACATACTTTGTTATTGTTTATATTGTTACAGGTTGTGCAAGGAGATCCGCCACGTTTACAACAGGGTCAGGAGTTTTCAACCGAATTTGTTGAATTTGTTAACACTTGGTGGGTATTTTCCTTGTTTTAATAGTAACCAACACTGCTAAATCTATTAGAGAGTTTTATAGCGAAATATGTACATAATGTTTATTTATTGCAGCCTAATTAAAAATGAAAGCGAACGTCCTAAATATGATCGCTTATTGGAAATGCCATTTATATTACGCGGTGAACGTAGCCACACAGATGTAGCCGCCTATGTTACAGATATACTCGAGGCCATGGAGAATGATGGCATAACACAATTTACCACGAACCAGCCGGCTGAGAGTTAATGGAAATTAACTTGCAGCAAACCGAATTAATGGAAAAGAACGTAAACAAAAACAAATCATTAAATAATATTGTATTGTTGTCTACTTGATAGCCTGTAAGTCGAACATTGTTAAAAAAGAAAAAAAAACCTTTAATTTTGTAGATTACGCAAATGTCACAAACACACTATAGTAAAATATAAGTCAGTGTGAACAATCATATGCAATTAGATTTCGTAGATATGCCAACAATAGAAAAAGTTTATGTTGCTTCGTAAATGTTAGTATAATGCAGTGTTAAGTTAAACCCAGGGGAAGGGCATTTTATGATTTAATAGTCGTTAGATTTTAGATTTGCAACAATTAAACTCTCTGAGTGATATATGTATGGTCCACAAAAGGCGAAAGATTCCAAATAAATAACTAATTGTTTTTTGGAAATAAGTGTAAGAAAATTAATAAGATTGTGCATTTAAAATTTTTTTGTTTAAGCAAATAAAATCCATTAAAGAAAAAAACTGAAAACGGAAGCAATATTATGAAACATGGAATAACACCAATTTTTGTAAATGTCTTAATAAAATACGAAAAAAATAAAATAAAATAAAACAAAAGCATATCGGTATACTAAAAAGAAGAACACACAAATTAAAATTGAATTTGATTAAAATTAAAAGAACTAACAACAATCCTTAGCCTTAGCAATTATTATAATAAACGCCAATATTATCATTAATATTGAAAGAAATGTAAGGAGAACACAAAATATGTACCAAAAAATACAAGTTCCGTTGCCTATTTTCGAAAAATTTAATGCAGTTGGTACGTTTATGGGATGTTTAAATAACAAATTAAAAACAAAAATTTGTGTACTTTGCACGGAAAAGTTTCCACTTCCCTCTTTTTTCGTTTTTGTGTTTTAATTTTGTTTGTGTTATTTTTAATTTACCAGTATAAGGCTTCAACTCAGGTTGTTAAAGAAAACAAAAAATGAAAAAAAAAACCACATTTGTATGAATATGTCCAGGTGTTTAGTATTTGTAGCTTGACAACAACAACAACAGGAACAATTTTAGACCGTCTTACAGCCAATAAATCGCTTTACATTTTTAGCATATATAAATCAACCAAGCAATCAGCGTCCATTTTGCGCTCCTTTACAAACATGTAACAGTAGCTTGCTAAGCTTTCATTAATTTTGTGCTATTGTTTTTTTTTAACAGAAAGCATAAAAAATTATGCTTAAAAATAAATGAAAAACCCATAATTCTTTCAAAGAATTGTAGTAGTAGTCGTAGTAGATTCGATTAAAATTATAGCAATATTTATCAGTAAAAATTTAAATGATATTATTCCACTATTCTTCAAGCCTTTCATTTCTGAGTACAGTTGTAGTCGATTACTTAATAATTTCTAAATAATTAAAATATAGTACATAGTCCCTTACAGAGATAAATATTCTAAAAAAAAAAAATAAAATTTAAAATTTAAAGTCATCTAGTTGACAATAAAATTTTGCGGCAAAGTATTTAAAAGAAAAAGGAAAAAGACATCTTTAAAAAAAAAAGACTAGTAACCATCCTTTTCAATCTCTTTAGCACGTCTATGCTCTCACTCTACTCTCTGGCTTCCAAGTAAAGTTAAAAACAAGAAAAACAATGAAATCTAAACTTGACACCAGCAAAGCATAACTATAAACAGATTATACACGTCCATATATACTATTTATGAGTAATAAACAAAAACAAAAAAGTATACAAAAAATATATTTTGCACGATATTCTTATTTGTTTAAACAAATTAATAAAAAAATAAATAAAAAGTAATCGTAATATTTAAGAAAAACCGGGATGCGATGCGAAATCAGATCAAGTCCAAATATCCGCTTTGTGGAATAAAATACAAAAAAAAAAAAGATATTGTAAATTCAAACAAAACTCTAAAAATTAAGGATCAAAAATTTAATATTTTTGATTATGATAAATTAATTATTAATAATAAACAAGACGGCAAAAAAACGTCTTTAGAAAATCCCATAACATGACTTCTTACTTATCTCTTACAGAGAGAATGTCAGATTTCTTTAAATTTTCTTTTATTTCTTGCAAAGACTCTAGTCATCAAAATAGAAGTTTCGTAAGTTTGCAGAGCTAACTCTAGAAGCGCAGATACACAGGACAAGGCGCCCTGCCCTTTTATTATGTCTGTTAATTCGTCCAAATGTATATATATATATATACATATAAGGCGGAGTGTTTCAATTTGAAGCTGTTTTAGCAACGTTTTAAAACCAATATGAAGATGAAGTAGTTTCTTTTTTTTGTCTGTTCAACCATTGAGAGAAAACTTTTATTCTTACTTCGCAAGCGTTTTGTATATATTTTTTTCTTTTCTAAAAAAAGCTTCCGGCTTATAAGGGATCAGCACAAATAACAATATAACAACACGATGGGCCGACGATCATCGTTTTTCAGAATGTTTCATAAAGCAAAAAGAGGAAGGAAAAGGATTCTTTATAGCATCTTTCCTACTTCCCGAGCGATCAGATATGCACGGAAGCCATATATAACAACAGAAAGACACGTTACAGTGACATAAAAATCGAAAACAGTAATCGCCAAGTCGAGAAAATTAGAGAAGTCGCACCGGTAATAATGCCAAATTGAAACATAACGAATATAAAAACAAGTAACAACGTTAGAGTCAGGCAAGGCTCTGAAGCAAGCACTATACACCTAGTCGCCCAGTACAGTTATTCGCTCGTGTTGGTAAGAATACAGAATTTGAATATTATTTTCACGCAAAGGCATACTTTTCCTGAAAGCCCGTATAATAGAGGATGCCCAAAATATCATATCACGTGACCTAAATTTAGCAAACTTAGTTTACTCCCCAAAAATTTTTTTATTTCTTAGCTTCCTTCGTAAGAAATGTAGAACTTATACTTTTTCTCCATATAACGCCTTGCTTAGGATTTAAAAAATATAATTTGTTACTATGGACCAATTTTCTTCACAAAAGTGAAGGGCAAATTTTATATGGAGCGCTTGTACCAAAATTGGTGTAGGGTAGATGTGAACATAAGAAGTGGAACATTATTAACTAATAGCTCGGTCAATAATTCTAGAGATGGAGAAAAATTTTTTTTCAATATTTCGATATAAATACGTTTCAGTTTCCGCTATGGCCTAATTATTTCATTGAAGATAAGTAGTATTCACCAAAGAGCAGACCTAGAGAGTGTAGTGAGTGTGGAACTAATTCTCGAACTTTAACTTATGCAGCCTTGTCATTGTAGCTATCGTTTTGGGAGGCGGTTTTTTTGTCCCATTGTGAGTGAGCGCGCTACCCATTTGAAAATTTCCTGAATTCTAAATTTTCCTGAATAATAATGAATACACTGGCTCTTCATATCTCCAGGTTGTCATCTGCATTTTGGAATTTCACTCTTTGATTACCGCAAATTGTTAGAGGCCACGGTTCCCATGGAATATTACTTAAGAAAAGTAAAGTAGAACGAAATGCTTAGACCGGGCTCTCACGCTACTACGCAGTAAGAGCAATTCTCATTATTATGGTACAGAGTATATTAAGTTAGCGCGGACATATGCAACACGCAGAAGGGCTTAAACTAGACCCGCCTTTTGTTATACCGACCGATTCAGAATACTAATCATAATTGATCTAAGTCTGTCTGTCCTTTTATATGTCTGATGTCTGTCCATGTAAATTTGTGATCGAGCTACAGATCGTAATTCTTAAGATATTTTCATAAAATTTGGTACAGTGATGTTAATTCAAGGACGAGCGCCACTGAAAATGGTTGGGATCAGTCCACTTTTTTGACGATTCCCTATTCTGAAACGTCGTTGTATCGAAAAGTAATTTTCAATATTTTCTCGGCCAAAGTGGCTAAGTAGTGGTATTTCGATATTTTAAGTTAATATGAAAACTTTGCTCCAGCTGGAGCAATGAAAGTTATATGATAATAGTAATTTAAGTACCAAAATTGTGCCATCTTTAATAAGATTTTTCACGAAAATTGATCCTTCGTATAGCAGAAATTTCTAAGTTTTAACAAGCGGTGATGGAAATTGATTAATAATATTCTAGTAATTTCATACGAAAATGAACTCTACAAAATTTGGCCCATCTACGTCTATTTTTGGATTCTGCTCTATGTAAGGTTTAAGCTTGTACTACAGTAGGTTGCGTTTTTTGGCCCGCTTCCCCATATATATGGGGCACTTGAAAAATATGCGTTTATATAAAAACAAAAAAATATTTTAGCGTTCCATAATAACAATAACAGCGTTAGACAACGTAGTGTAGTGGTCGCCCTTGCCCGACTATAACGTTCTTACTTGTCCTTTGATGTTTTCTGGTGCCACTGGATTCGTGATGGTCGCTGTTCATTTGATACCCTTCAAAATTCGCAAATTATCGACACATTTTTTTAAAGGAGCAAAATTGTCTTTCAAAAATAACAACAGTAACAACAACAACAATTAACCGAGACATTACATCAAAATTGCGAACGTAACCAAAAAAAATTTTTAAGTCTTCCTTATTTAACTGACACGTTGGCAATAGTTATTCGATATAATTGGCAACTCTATCTATTTTAATATCTTTTTTTCACACTGCGTTATAAAAATATTATTATTATTATTATTATTATAATTGTAGACTAATAAAATAAATTCTTAGACTAAAAAAAGAAATTGAGCACTAGCAACAAAGCTATCGGCTCTAATTTAAATAAATGTACATTAGATATTGAGCCTAGAAGTTTTAATAAAGTAATGTATAGAATTGATATTCTGTTCTAAAGCTGATTGTAGAATGTTCAAAGGGTTAGTCGTTCCAAATGCAATACTTCTAGCCAAGGAAAAGTTGAGGCAGTCGCAGAGAATGTGGTTCATAGTAAGAGTTTGTCCACAACAGCAGATTGGGGGAGAAGACTTCTTCAGAATCCATTGGTGAGTTGCAATTGTATGACCAAAGCGAATTCTCGAAAATGTTTGGATCTTGGTTTTCTCAACATTTGTTGGATATAGAGGTGGAGTTAATTGAGGGTTAATGCAAGAGTAGAGTTGATGATGGTATTGTAAATTTCCTTCTGCAATTTTCTCTTTAACTTTTCTTCCAATGTATCTTTGAAGATCCAACTTTTCCGTGACATCATCCATAATTAGAGTTACAGAAGCAGCATACTTCGCCGCT